GTTTTCTAGTTTATTTGCATAGAGGTGTTTATAGTATTCTCTGATGATAGTTTGCATTTCTGTGGGATCAGTGGTGATATCCCCTTTATCATTTTTTATTGTGTCTATTTGATTCTTGTCTCTTTTCTTCTTTATTAGTCTTGCTAGCGGTCTATCAATTTTGTTGATCTTTTCAAAAAACCGGCTCCTGGATTCACTGATTTTTTGGAGGGTTTTTTGTGTCTCTATCTCCTTCAGTTCTGCTCTGATCTTAGTTATTTCTTGCCTTCTGCTAGCCTTTGAATGTGTTTGCTCTGACTTCTCTAATTCTTTTAATTGTGATGTTAGGTGTCAATATTAGATTTTTCCTGCTTTCTCTTGTGGGCATTTAGTGCTATAAATTTCCCTCTACACACTGCTTTAAACGTGTCCCAGAGATTCTGGCATGTTGTATCTTTGTTCTCATTGGTTTCAAAGAACATCTTTATTTCTGCCTTCATTTCCTTTTGTACCCAGTAGTCATTCAGGAGCAGGTTGTTCAGTTTCCATGTAGTTGAGCAGTTTTGATTGAGTTTCTTAGTCCTGAGTTCTAGTTTGATTGCACTGTGGTCTGAAAGACAGTTTGTTATAATTTCTGTTCTTTTACATTTGCTGAGGAGTACTTTACTTCTAATTATGTGGTCAGTTTTGGAATAAGTGTGATGTGGTGCTGAGAAGAATGTATATTCTGTTGATTTGAGGTGGAGAGTTCTGTAGATGTCTATTAGGTCCACTTGGTGCAGAGTTGAGTTCAATTCCTGGATATCCTTGTTAACTTTCTGTCTCGTTGATCTGTCTAATGTTGACAGTGGGGTGTTGAAGTCTCCCATTATTATTGTATGGGAGTCTAAGTCTCTTTGTAAGTCTCTAAGGACTTACTTTATGAATCTGGGTGCTCCTGTGTTGGGTCCATATATATTTAGGATAGTTAGCTCTTCCTGTTGAATTGATCCCTTTACCATTATATAATGGCCTTCTTTGTCTCTTTTGATCTTTGATGGTTTAAAGTCTGTTTTATCAGAGACTAGGATTGCAACCCCTGCTTTCTTTTGTTTTCCATTTCCTTGGTAGATCTTCCTCCATCCCTTTATTTTGAGCCTACGTGTGTCTCTGCATGTGAGATGGATCTCCTGAATACAGAAAACTGATGGGTCTTGACTCTTTATCCAATTTGCCAGTCTGTGTCTTTTAATTGGTCCATTTAGTCCATTTATATTTAAGGTTAATATTGTTAGGTGTGAACTTGAATCTGTCATTATAATATTGGCTGGTTATTTTGCTCGTTAGTTGATGCAGTTTCTTCCTAGCATCGATGGACTTTACATTTTGACATGGTTTTGCAATGGCTGTTACCTGTAGTTCCTTTCCATGTTTAGTACTTTCTTCAGGATCTCTTGTAGGGCAGACCCAGTGGTGACAAAGTCGCTAAGCATTTGCTTGTCTGTAAAGGATTTTATTTCTCCTTTACTTATGAAACTTAGTTTGGCTGGATATGAAATTCTGGGTTGAAAATTCTTTTCTTTAAGAATGTTGAATATTGGCCCCCACTCTCTTCTGGCTTGGAGAGTTTCTGCTGAGACATCTGCTGTTAATCTGATGGGCTTCCCTTTATGTGTAACCCCACCTTTCTCTCTGGCTGCCCTTAACATTTTTTCCTTCATTTCAACTTTGGTGAATCTGACAATTATGTGTCTTGGAGTTGCTCTTCTCGAGGAGTATCTTTGTGACATTCTCTGTATTTCCTGAATTTGAATGTTGGCCTGCCTTACTAGGTTGGGGAAGTTCTCCTGGATGATATCCTGCAGAGTGTTTTCCAACTTGGTTCCATTTTCCCCATCACTTTCAGGCACACCAATCGGACATAGATTTGATCTTTTCACATAATCCCATATTTCTTGGAGGCGTTGTTCATTTCTTTTTACTCTTTTTTCTCTACACTTCTCTTCTTGCTTCATTTCATTCATTTGATCTTCAATCGCTGATAATCTTTCTTCCAGTTTATCAAGTCTGTTACTGAAGCTTGTGCATTTGTCACGTATTTCTCGTGTTAGGTTTTCATCTCTATCAGTTCTTTTAAGGACTTCTCTACATTAGTTATTCTAGTTAGCCATTCATCAAATCTTTTTTCAAGGTTTTTAGTTTATTTGCGCTGGTTACATAGTTCCTCCTTTAGCTCTGAGAAGTTTGATGGACTGAAGCCTTCTTCTCTCATCTTGTCAAAGTCATTCTCCGTCAAGCTTTGATCCGTTGCTGGCGATGAGCTGCGTTCCTTTACAGGGGGAGATGTGCTCTTATTTTTTGAATTTCCAGCTTTTCTGCCCTGCTTTTTCCCCATCTTTGTGGTTTTATCTGCCTTTGGTCTTTCATGATGGTGATGTACTGATGGGGTTTTGGTGTGGGTGTCCTTTCTGTTTGTTAGTTTTCTTTCTAACAGTCAGGACCCTCAGCTATAGGTCTGTTGGAGTTTTCTTGAGGTCCACTCCAGACCCTGTTTGCCTGGGTATCAGCAGCAGAGGCGGCAGAAGTTAGAATATTGCTGAACAGCGAGTGTTGCTGTCTGATTCTTTTTCTGGAAGCTTCGTCTCGGGGTGTACCCTGCCGTGTGAGGTGTGAGGCGTCAGTCTGCACCTAGTAGGGGATGTCTCCCGGTTAGGCTACTCAGGGGTCAGGGACCCACTTGAGCAGGCAGTCTGTCCATTCTCAGATCTCAGCCTCCATGCTGGGAGATCCACTGCTCTCTCAAAGCTGTCAGACAGGGGCATTTACCTCTGCCGAGGTTTCTGCTGCTTTTTGTTTAGCTATGACCCATCCCCAGAGGAGGAGTCTACAGAGGCAGGCCAGCCTCCTTGAGCTATGGTGGGCTCCACCCAATTCGAGCTTCTGGGGGGCTTTTTTTACCCACTTAAGCCTCAGCAATGACGGGCGCCCCTCCCCCAGCCTTGCTGCCACCTTGCAGTTAGATCTCAGACTGCTGTGCTAGCAATGAGGGAGGCTCCGTGGGCGTGGGACCCTCTGGGCCAGGTATGGGATATAATCTCCTGGTGTACCATTTGCTAAGACCCTTGGTAAGGTGCAGTATTAGGGTGGGGGTTACCCGATTTTCCAGGTGTTGTGTGTCTCAATTTCCTTTGGCTAGGTAAAGGAATTCGCTTTCCCCTTGTGCTTCCCAGGCGAGGTGATGCCTTTCCCTGCTTCAGCTCTTGCTGATCGGGCTGCACTCGTGGACCAGCGCCAACTGTCCCACACCACCCAGTGAGATGAACCCGGTACCTCAGTTGAAAATGCAGAAATCACCCATCTTCTGTGTCGCTCATGCTGGGAGCTGGAGGCTGGAGCTGTTCCTATTAGGCCATCTTGGACACACCCCCCCAATAAAAATCTATTTTTTTGTGTTGATTGTATTTATAATAGTTCTGCTCTGATCTTGGATATTTCTTTTCTTCTTATGGGTTTCGGTTTAACTGATCTTTGTTTCTCTAGCTCCTTAGAGTGTGACCTGAGATTGTCTATTTGTGCTCTTTCAGACTTTTTGATGTAGTCATTTAATGCTATGACTTTTCCTCTTAGCACCACCTTTGCTGTATCCCAGGGATTTTGATAGGTTGTATCACTATTTTCATTCAGTTCAAAGAATTTTTAAATTTCCATCTTGATTTTATTGTTGACCCAATGATTATTCAGGAGTAGGTTATTTAATTTCCATGTATTTGGATGGTTTTTAGGGTCCTTTTGGAATTGATTTCCAATTTTATTCCATTGTAGTTTGAGAGAGTGCTTGCTTATAATTTAGATTTTCTTAAATTTGTTGAGACTTGTTTTATGGCCTATGGTCATGTGGTCTATCTTGGAGAATGTTCCATATGCTGATTAATAGAATGTATTTTATGCAGTTGTTAGATAGAATGTTCTGTAAATATTTGTTAAGTCCATCTGTTGTAGGATGTAGTTTAAGTTCATTGTTTCTTTGTTGACTTGCTGTCTTGATGACCTGTCTAGTGCTATCAGTGGAGTATTGAAGTATTAAAGTACCTCACTATTATTGTGTTGCCATATTCCACTTTATAGTCATATGACTATGATGTTTTAAACATAAGTCTATTCATATGCCAGATATACTTCAGAAACTCTTAATGTCTCTATTACAAAAATTCTGCCTCCATCCTTATGTAATTGGGTTGATTAAGAAAATTAAAGGCCACAGGCTAGAGAAGTGATTTCCATAAATGCAACAAAAGGAAATTTTTTCCAGCTACCTCTATGCAATGGGAAATCTTTTTTATAAGCACCAAATCAATTTCTTCAACTGTACAATGTATTATAATTTGATAGTTTTCAAGTACAATATAGTAACAACAAAATGTAATAAAGTTAAGACAATATAAAAACAGAGTAAATGGTATAATTCTAATAATGACTATAATAAAATGACATTTATTATTAATTTTACGATCAGTATATAATTATATATTTAAATTTTACTTTACATATGTAAGATCACTGTCAAGGAGGTTAACCATAATTTCAAATTTTATCAACAGCCACTTGGGCTATTTTATCACATTTGAAAATATTGAAATAGTGATCTATAATTTTTTTGACAATAATAATTAAGGACCTTTTCTTCTTCAAGGTAATTTTAAAAATTAAATGAAGCATTGAACATACTACCAAAAAACTTTACTTTTTGATTATAGCCTCTACATTGAAGATCTTTCAGAATTTTTAAAATTAATTTTAAAATCTTCCCATGACCCCTCTGTTCAAAGAAATATCATCTTTGAAATAATTTGTGTGAATATTTACAAATCAAAAATTCATTCACAAGACCATATTACCATAATCACTAATTTTAACCGTCTCCTAAACATTTTCTATATCACTTTTCTTGATTGTAAAATGTCAGTAATATGGGTACACTCTTAATATAACAGAATATTTAAATTACATCAATTTCCCATCAACCCACCAAAGTCATTCAGTAATTATACCGGCCATTTCCACTGATGGGCAGGAGGCTCTTCCACTAATGGCTTCCATGTTTTCCACTGCATCATTTGTCTTGCCAGACTTAGTTCATTTTTACCCAGGAGAATTATCTCTTTTATTTGGCCACCTTCAAGTTGATCTTCTAATTTTTGAACATCTGATTCCACTTTGACCATAGCCAGCTTCTCATTAGTAATCTGTTCTGTATACTTTCTATATGCTGCATTTTTAGGGATTTGTTCAAGAACATCACGAATATTTGTGTAGAATATTCTTAGCCTCTCATGTGGACTCTTGCATACCGCAATTCCAGTGGTCTTCAGCACACTCGCCATGACAGCCAAAAATGTATACGAAGTTTGATAATCAGTCCAACACCTCTCAAATTACATCATGATAAACTACTTTTTAAAAACTTGAATAATTATAACATAATACTGAGTAATCTTAATAAATGATTAAATGTTACAATTTAAGAAAATATTCAACTATAAATTATAATCAAAACGTTACTATAGAGAAAAATAGGATAGCTAAAGAATTAAGCAATAAAATATGGGATAAAATAAAACCATTTTTTTTTTAGGTATTAGTAAAATTTGAAAGAGGAAGAAAGAAAGAAAGAGAGAGAAAGAGAAAGAAAGAAAGAAAGAAGGAAAGAAAGAAAGAAAGAAAGAAAGAAAGAAAGAAAGAAAGAAAGAAAGGCAGAAAAAAAGAAAGAAAAGAAAGAAAAAGAAAGAAAGAAAGGAGAGAGAGAGAAAGAAAGAAAGAAAGAAAGAAAGAAAGAAAGAAAGAAAGAGAAAGAAAGAAAAAAGAAAGAAAGAGAGAGAAAGGAAAAAGAAAGAAAGAAATTTGTTTCCATAATGATAAGTCCATTTTTGTCAATATTTTCAAACTGCTGTTAGGCACAATACACACAAGATAGTGCCCTATATTCACAAAGGCAGTGCATGTCTGCTTGTTTATTTTAAATATTTTCAAAGTTTATATACTAAGGTGATACACATTTGCACAATTGCATCAGAACACAGAACATTCATATAAAAAAACATGTAATTAATGAAGTTTTAAATTTCATTTATATACTCTAGACGAATGCTGTCTGGTATAAATATAATGCACACCACAAATGTGAGCCACACGCATAAGGTAAATTTTTTCATTAGTCATATTTTAAAAGGTAAAAAGAGACATAAAATTAAATAACGTATTTTATTTACTCAACCTGTCTAAATGTTAACATTTCAATCTGTAATCAATATAAAAGTATTAAAAATATATTACATTCCTTTTTTTCATGTCTGCAAAATCCAGTATGTTCTATATGCTTGCAGTTCATCTCAATTCAGACCAGACACGTTGCAAGTGCCCTATCCACATGGGGCTAGTGGCTACCATATGGAATGGCACTGCTGTAGGCCAAGTTAATTCATAGGGATAATCCATTACTTAAAGAATAGAAGTAATTCATCTATAAGGCAAGTGGATCTTATAAATTTGTGTGTGAAAGAATAGGTACATGTGAAGAAGTGTGATTATCTTTATAGTTCTTTAGGTTTTTGTAAATATATTTTTATAATTTGTTTTTTCCCTCCATATAGAGCTGAAATTTTATTAGCTAAAAGATCATATAAGCTAAAAGATCACTGGAGCTATTTTGGTTAAAAGTAACTGAAAATCTAATTTTAACTAAGAGGGGAAAAGAAAAGAATGAATTGGATTGTGTAATTATAAAGTCCATGGGTAGAGTTAGATGCATAAAAGTTAAGATCTAGGAGCTCAACTCTGTTATGATCTATGTTGGCTTCACTTTCAATAAAGTATACTCTCTTTTTGTGGTAGCTCCACAGAATTCTAGATTTTTGTCCACTTGGTTCAAGTTCAACAGAAAAGAACATGATTTTCCAACTATATCCATAAAACATCCCAGTCTGATCCCTATTGGCCTAAACTGGCTCATATGACTAATTCCTGAAGCAATTATTGGGGCTGACATGGAAATTTGAGTAAATTGAAATGATTTATTATCTTAGGCCCTATGTCAAAACCTGGATCTGATGACAGAAACTGTATCACCCTGAACAAGTGTGGACAACAGGCATTTCTTCAAAGAAAAATTGAAGAAACAGATATAAGACTGAAAAAAACAAGCTGCTGGTATCTGTAGGCTGTTAGCCCTACAGTTCTGGAATCTCAGGGGCAGCCCTGCCCCCACAGCTGTACTCTGCATTGCCTTAGTGAGGCTCTTTGTGATGACTCTATCCCTGTAGCAAGGGACAGAGCTGTCTAAAATGGACAGCCTCAGAGCCCAGGCAGAGACTTGCTACAGGGCAAACTAGGTGGAGGTAGTCATGCCCTCACAGCATTTGCATTCTGCAAGCCTGTATAGTTAGTGCCACATGGACTTTGCCAAAGTTAATAGCTTATGCCCTCTGGAGTGGAGGTTCAAACTGCACCTGAGTCCACTTGAGCTATTACCAGGGAAGCTAAGAAGCACTACACCAGAAGGCAGAGAGCAAAGGTTTGAGAAGACTCTGGGCAGTGAGCATAGAGGTTCCTCGTGTGCCCTGGGCCTCTCCCTGGAAACCATTCTGTTCTCTGGAGTCTAACACTCTGGTCCTGTAATGGGTGAGACAGCCCCAAAAGATCTCTGAAATGTCTTTGGGGTCATTGTCCTGAAAATTAACACGTGGATTCCTTCTATTCACAGTAATCTTGTTGGCAAATGGTCTCCTGGCCACACCCTTGACTTTCTCCCCGAAATGCCTTTTTGTTTTTTGTTTTTTTTTCCTTTACATGGCTAGGCTGAGAGTTTGACAACATTACATTCTGTTTTCCTCTTAATTATAAAATCTATCTTTAAACTGTTTCTCTTTTCTCTTGTTTTAGAATACCCCATTAAGGAAAGACAAGCATGATCCTGATACTTTGCTGCTCAGAAAATTTTTCTGCCAAATATCTTAGTTCATGACAATTAAATGCTACCTTCCACAAAGTCCTGAGATATGGGTATAATTGATATAAGTTCCTTGTCACTTTCTAACAAGGATGACCTTTCTCCTAGTTTCCAATACAATATTCCTTATTTCCATCTAAGACCTCATATCCATATTTCTACTAACATTCTGTTCACAATCACTTAAGTAATCTCTAGGAATATTCAGCTTTTCCTACAGCTCTCTCCTTCTGAGCCCTTACCATGTTCATCCTTATTGTTCTTGGCAATGCATGCTTTTTCCACCGTTCACTTCAATTGCTACCTATTACACAGTCTCTACCTATTACCCAGTTCCCAAGCAACTTCCACATTTTTAAGTATTTGTGTGGCAATATTCTACTTCTTTGATATCAGTTCCTATCTCAGTCTGTTTGTGCTGCTATAGCAGAATGCCTAAGACTGGGTAATTTATAAAGAAGATACATTTATTTTCTTAGGATTCTGGAGGTTGGGAACTCCAATATAAGGCACCTGCATCTGGTGTCTGGTAAGGGCCTTCTTGCTGTGTCCTCACATGGCAGAAGGGAGAAATATAAGTTAGAAAGCTGGAGTGATGCCTCTGTTAGAAGGGCCTTTGTCCCATTAAGGAGGGGGGATCCCTAATGGCCTACTCATCTCTCAAAGGCCCCACTTCTTAATACTATCATATTGAAAATAGTTAAATTTTGGAGAGGACACATTCAAACCATAACACTTGTGGTGTTTTTTTCCAGTTATACCCATAGTTGTCTGTAATTGTAGTAGGCAACAAGAAAGAATTTGAGGATTTTACTGTTGTGCTGAGTCATGTAATTATTTTTCCCATGTCTGATGTGTCATCCCAAAGTTTGATTTAGCCCTTCTACCTCATTTCCTCTGTTCTGAACATTAATATTAGGAGACTCCAATGGTAAAAGCTGGCATTAGTTACAAATAGTTATTTTCATGTTCAATTAAATTATTTTTATCACGTGTTTTTTATTTCTTTGTTCTCTTTATTTTACTAGCTTTTTACAATAACCATATATAATGCTGTAGTCAAAGACAGTAAATGTTATTTTTTAAAGCAATTAAGTACATTCTAAAACATTTTCAATTATTCAGTAATACAGTCTTAGTTTGTAAATATCCTCTTCTAAGTCTATGATGAACTTTGTAAGATTTTGTTTTTAAAAAGACTAAAACAAAACAGAACTGCTCTGATTTTTTCCTAACCCCTTGTGACTGGCCAGGTGTTTGGAAGGAAGCTTTCATGGGTATTCTTTTCTATAATCCCTTGCCCAAGGATTGAAATCAATGAATTTAGTTGTCTAAGGTCACAACTAACCTGCAATTACTTGAATTCTTATTATTCCTTATTTTTATCCTAAAGTTGCACTATTTATGTTTTGTTTATATGGCTGATTTGAAAAAAAAAAAAAAAAAATCACACCTAACATTACTGAAACGACTTCTCTAATTAGAAGTCTATGTAGCCTTTACTCCTTCAGTAAGCCAAACAGTCCATTTTCAAACTGACTTTTTTTTTTTTTCTAATGCCTTTTAGTTGGAAGAAAAAGAGCTGTACATGCCATCAGTTAATGGGCTTATTAAAATAATTCCTACTTATACAAGCATAATATTTTAGGGATTTTTTATGTGTCTTTCTTCTTGTATTTAGATGTCTTATGTGGCCTATTTTCCTTTCATAGTTTATCAAAGAAAAACCTTTAAGATACACATTTGATTTTATTTTAAAAAATCTTTCCTCTTCTGTTGCAGACTTGATTGAGTTTGTAGAGATCCTTTGAAAGAGTCTATACAATGGGCGTTCATCCCTCCACTCCTTGAAAAGAACCACTGTTCTACCTAGTTTGAGGAACACCCCCTTAGAAACCACCTATATTGACAAACATATCTTTAATTATATAATACGCAAACACAAATCTTAGTTTCACACAGAACTTATTTCACTTTCTGTGGTAAGAGAAGTAATTCTGGTATCCTTGCTGTTTTATCCAATAGTAAACTAGCTTAATTTGACTGAGAGAACGTGGTTTCATCGGAGATAAATGTTCATTTCTTAAAATCTTTTTATTTAATAGAAATCTTTGTACAGTAATAAATAATTTACACTTGATTCACATAAGGTTTTCGTAGTGCTAAATTTTTATAATTGTACATTTAAAAACACTTGGCATTTTTGTGCTGATTCACTTAATCAGTCATTTAAAGTACTCAGCATTGTGCCAGGTGCTCCCTTAAGTGCTAAAACTTTGCAGTAAAGAAAGCTTTCTTTGTTCCCTGCCCACATGGGGCTTAGGGACAAGTGACTAAGAAGGATGTTGATTGTATGATTAAGGCAAATAATTACATAAT